ATCTGCTCATACGTATGTTTTCCATATTTTTTAACTATATTGTTTTACTTCCTCACGTATACATCATATTCAATAACTATGTTTTTCTTTATACATGCATAGACGACGTTTGTTCTTCATAACAACCATCTATTCTATCGACATCATCAAAATAAAACAGGTATGTTTATTTTCCTTAAGATTATCTCTTATTTAAGTAATATGTATTGGAATACTATGTTTTATTACTTTATTGATTATATCAATGAAGAACTGCATAGTTGGTTGTAAATGCTGTTAAGTTTAAATAGTATTTAATCAGAGATTAAAAAGTATTATTACTCTTATACTATTAATTAATTAATTACATCTAATTGACTAAGAAATTTAAGATTGAGTTTTTGAAACCAAGAAATTGACACTTACTTGGAAACATAGGTTTGTTGCAGATAATTTCTTGAGCTCATTAACCAATAGAACCCTTACAAAGCTAATAATTCTCCCTGAAAAATCATATATAATATAAATATCAAACAAATTGTATGTAATATATGTCTATGTATGATTGGTAACATGATCCTCAACATATTTTATATATTAGGAGAATCCATAGTCCAATTCCAATATTGATTCATAAAAACAAAATAACCATAAAATCCATAAAGCTAAAGAACAATATTTTTTCATTTAAACAACTTCATAAATTTAGTTACCTCTCCATGTAGCTTTTTTCATCTAAGAAATGAAATATCGGACAATCAAGATCTGTCGGCAACCCATGCAGTCTTGATACATCATATGAACACCAAAAATTGTTAAAAAAATGTCAATATGTCAACATATATACCAAAATCATGTTCAATAAAAATAATTACACATATATAACTTATCTCAGAACTGTTTAAGGAGCCATCAACAGTAAATAAGACCTATGTGTGAGGAAGAACCGATTTTGAGTTAAAAAAACACTTTCTGATGGTTTCTCTTAAGATTTTACTGAAAAAAAAAATACAAAAATTGATTAGTTTATGAATGTGATTTAGGCCTTTATTTTTCATTATATATCGTCAAGACAAGGATAATGTAATACACATTATTTGATGTTAACTGAGATGACACAAACATAGCCCAGGGGCGGAACTATAAATATATATTAGGTGTAGCACCAAAAAAATTCCCGAACAAAAACATGTAAAGGGCCTGAGGTTTTCATTGTGCCTTTGGAGTCAGGAAGTCTACTCCCTGGCGGTCCTAAGGTTTTCAATGATCTGGACAAAATGACATAATAATTCCCTTTTATCATACAAATTTACAGGGTATACCTGATTTTATAAAGGAACAATATAACAAACTTTTTTATTTAAAAATTTATAATTCCCACAAACTCAAATTTAGAAACTTCACTTAAAACATGGACTTCTTGAAGCAAACATATTTAAACAAGATATGTTATTAAACAAAAACTAAATATCAAAACATAAAACCTGCAATAAATTTTGGATTCAGGAAGTCTACTCCATTCCCCCGATTAATTTTTAATCCTATAACGTATAACAATATTCAATAAAACCTTGTAAAATATGGTGGAACATATTAGCTGTTCAAAATTTTTCGACATTGCGAAGCGTTTACATATGGTGGAACATATTAGCTGTTCGGGTTTTATATGTGTGGGACGACGTTGAAAATAACCGAGTCCTGATTTGGTTGATTGATCGTAACGTAAGTATGAATACAATAAAATAAATATGACATTTTTTTTGGCTAATGTTCATTTTATTATTTACATAATTGTTAATATATTACATATCCAGAGAGACAAAATGATCGCCATCGTCCCACAATGTTTGAGGCAAACAGTTTTGAACATGAATTTGGTTGGACGTGTATTGTCCTTAAATCATTTCCAAGTTGAGCAGTTTTACGAAGATCACCCCACGTATCGAAGTTACAAATTTTTTTTGGTGATTGGGCAATACTAATAAAAATTAACACAATATTTACTCGATTGGGAAATGATGTCGCCAATTCATTTCCACATTATCCATTATGTTCTTCTATCACAAGCCTCGCAAGAGATTTTAGCCGTCGAAGAATGATGATCGGTACATTTATATATTTAATTATATATATTTTGTTTTTATCAATTGCATACAACAAATTAAATTTATAGTAATTTTAATATGCTTTAGATGTTATTGGAAAAATCGTTTGGGGAAGACGAATCACGCCATTCTATGCATTTGAACTATTTCTCCAAAATGAGATGTAAGTATATTTAAATATATTAACCAATTTTCATTGTTATTATGTGTTTTAACAACATTTTGTTTAAATGAATAGGGGACATATTATCAAGTTGATGTTCAATCACGTACCGATGAGCCTTATGATACCATTGTATCTTGCAATATTCAATCAATCCATAATTTATGTCTCTAGGGTCAAGTTGGTCCACTTAAATTTGTGTAAGTTAACCGTGGGCAACATTATATATAGTTTCATTCTTTACATATTATTTATTTTAATATACCTTACTAAGTATATATTACATGTCCATACAGACAATATTTTGGTTTCTACTATATTAACTGATGTCACGTTGGATCCAAGGACACCGGAAGCTGAGCGAATTAGGATTAGAGATAGAGAGAATAATTAATTTTTCTATAGTTATTTGTTAGCGGATTATGTAGTAGTTATTTGTTTGCGGATTATGTGGTAGTTATGTGTTTGCGGATTTTTAGAAGGTTGTTTGCTTGCATATTTTTTATATTTATTTTTTGCTGAATTTGTGACATGGATTTTTAGTATTTTATAATGATTTAAAACTTTTAAGTTTATAAATTTTAGTTTCTTTGTCTGACTATTTTGTTTATGTTATTTAGTTTTCTTCTTTCTGTTTATGAGATATTTATACAGTTGTATAATAAGTAAAACAAATAATCTACCAAATAAAAACTATAAATATCATTTAAATAAAAATCAATCAATATGCATTCTTTCAATTATTGAAAAAAACTATTAAAACATGAAAGAAATATTTACCGAAAAAAACTAATGAAACTTGAAATAAATATATATTAACAAAAAACACAAATTGTTAAAACATTACTTCAAGTATTAAAAAAAAGCAGTATAATTTAATGTAAGTATCAATCTCACATATAAATAATTAGTTCAACTCAATCAGTGTTCAATTAATACGGTTATAAGTATTGTATATAAAAATTATTTTTTATTACAATGTGTTATAAAAAAATAAAATTCTATATTATTAATTTCATGTTTTTACAGTTGGCATGGTGATTGTAGATGAGGAAAATAGGCCTAATGAGGCTATCCAACTTGATGTAAATGCACAAAAGGGTATGTTTCATATGTGCAACATGATTAATACGTTATCTTTATGCATAATTCATCCAAAAAAATTATTGCAGAAAAAAAAAATTATATAATAAAACATGTTATGAACGACTAAAGGAGAAGAAGAAAATGAGACAAACAGCTAATGGAGAAGTAAGTAGTCAAAACATGACACCTATGACAAATGTGTCTACAGCACAGAGGACCCTTGCTGATATTACTAATGTAACTCCTACAAGTGTATTGGATTTTGCTCAAAGGAAATCGATTAAGAACAGAAATGCATATCAACGACGCAAGGAACGAAACTCACCGACAACACCTATTGAAATTAGTCACCAAGATCCATATAGCTTTGTTTATAATGGTATCCCTAAAGAACATCGTGTTTTGAAGGTACATCAACCATGTGTTCATTGTGGAGCAAAACGATTTCAGTTTGAATTCCCTACCTTTTGTTGCATGGATGGTAAGACAAAGTTATCACATTCCTCTATTCCTGAAGAATTACTCAACCTCTTCACATCCAGAAACGAATTAGGTAGGACATTTAGACAAATGATACGTTGCTACAACAACAACTTTTCTTTCGCATCAATGGGCGTTGATTATGACAAAACATTGACAAATATGACATCTGGAGTATACACCTTTTGTGTGAATGGAGGAATATATCATAGAATCGATCAGTTAATTCCAAGAGATGGAATACCTCGGTACTTACAGTTGTATTTTTACGACGCTGATTATGAGATGTCACATAGACTCCAAAGGAAGAATATTGATAAAGAAATTGCTGGAAAGTTGATTCGTGTTCTTGCTACAAACCCATACGTGAAGACATTTCGAAGACTTGCTGATCTAGGGCCGCTTGACAAATACAAAGTCACTTTAAATGCATCGGTAGAACTTGATCAAAGGGTATACAACCGACCAACCACATCTGAGGTACCATAATAATTATTTTCTACTAATTACAAAATAAATATACCACGTATGAAATACAACAGTGCATATTACACACCATATTTAATCATGTCGTTTGTATCATAAAAACCTCAGGTCGCTGGTATTTGGGTTGAAGGTAACGACAACATAGCCGCATATAAACGAAGTATTATCGTTTATGGAAAATCCGAGAAACCGCAAACAATTCAATCTTATTGGGGATGTTATGATCCATTGTGTTATCCTTTATTTTTTCCTAACGGTGAGTCTGGATGGCATTCAAAAATCCCAAGACATTGATTTTCCATCAATGATATTATTAATGACGACGAAGACATCGGGGATGATTTAGAAGGTACACATATCATAACTTTTAAAATTTTAGTTAACTTAACAAACATTACATTTTGTACACAACATTAATTCTTAATTTTTTTTCACGACATCAACATTGTGTAGACTCTAATACAAAAAAAGGGCGGAATACTGTATCTATGCGAGAGTACTACTGCTATAAGTTTCAAATTCGGCCAAATTATAATGTAATTTTGTTGGGAGGGAGATTGCTACAACAGTTTGTAGTAGATATCTACATCAAGCTTGAGACTTCACGTTTGGATTTTTGTAGAAAAAACCAGTCCAAAATAAGAGCAGATTTATACCAAGGTGTTGTGGATTGTGTTAATGCCGGCGAGGTTTGACCGACTATGATAGGGCAACGTGTCGTGTTGCCTGCAAGTTTCATCGGAGGCCCCCTTGACATGCGGCGACGATTTCTTGACGCCATGACTTTAGTTCAAGATAACGGGAAGCCTGACATATTTCTTACAATGACATGCAATCCAAATTGGCCAGAAATAAAAAATGAGTTACTACCTTGGCAGACGGCCCAAGATCGACCAGACCTTGTGTCAAGAGTTTTTCGTGCTAAGTTAGAGGATCTTAAGAAACAACTCTTCACTAAGCATGTACTTGGTGTAGTGGGTTCGTACGTTTATGTCATTGAGTTTCAAAAGCGTGGTTTGCCGCATGCGCATTTCCTCTTGATAATGATGCCTCCATACAAGCTTACTAATGCAGACCATTACGACAAAATAGTATGTGCTGAAATTCCAGACCCAATAAGGTATCCTAAAATGCACGAATTGGTCGTCTCACACATGATACATGGTCCTTGCGGTAGCTTAAACTCTGATTGTCCTTGTATGAATAATGAGCAAAAGAAATGTCGTTTTAGATACCCTCGACAATTCAATGAAACAACGTTACAAGGAAAGGACTCATATCCTGTGTACCGAAGAAGAGATAATGGTATAGAGGTGGACATACGAGGCAATAAGATGGATAAAAGATGGGTTGTCCTGTATAACCCAAAGTTGTTAATGATGTTTAACTGCCATATGAATGTTGAGGTCTACTCGAGTATAACCTCTGTGAAATATGTGTTTAAGTATATTTACAAGGGTCATGACAAACAAGTTATCAATATTGATCCGGATGGACAACCAGTTGTTATCAATGAGATAAAACGGTATCAGGATGCACGATATGTCTCACCTCCTGAGGCAATATGGAGGATTTTTAGCTTCCCCCTTTCTCAGATATACCCTTGTGTGATGGCTTTGCAGGTGCATCTCCCAAATCAACAGTTGGTTAGGTTCAGTGAGGATGATACACTGACTAGCGTTGTTGAAAAGGAGAGAGATAATAGATCAATGTTGACTGCGTTTTTTCTAAAAAATAAAGAAGATATTCGTGCAAGAGAATATAAATACAGAGATTTTCCTAAAAAGTTTACGTGGGATCCGAAGTCACGTCGTTGGAATCATCAAAAACTAGGATTAATGCGAGGTCGTTTGGTTTCTGCTAATCCTGCTGAAGGGGAGCGATACTACCTTCGCCTACTTTTATTGCATATTAGTGGCCCTACGTGTTTTGAAGATCTCTATATGGTCAACAATATAAAATACCCAACATTTCGGAAAGCAGCTCTTGAAAGAGGCTTAATAGAGTCCGATGATGGTTTGTCTCAATGTCTTACAGAGGCATCTTTGTTTCAATTTCCCAATGCTCTTAGAAGGTTGTTTGCAACGATATTGAGTTTTCGTGAGCCAGGAGATGTTCGTAAGTTATGGCATGAGCATTACAATGGTCTTTCAGAAGATTATAGGCGACAATACGAAAGTGTTGAGAGAGTCCAGAATATGGTCCTCACTGAAATCATGGTATTCCTACAATCTATGGGTGACCGTATTGATGATTTTGATCTTCCAAAAATAAATCAAAATGTCGATTTAGAATTTGGAGTTTTTTCGTGAGGTACAAGAAGAATGCTCTATTGTTTTAGAACCTGAACATTTACAAGCCCGAGATTCTCTCAATCCCGAACAAAAGTTTGCGTATGATGAGATCATGCGGCATGTCCATAATGATATTCCAGGAGTGTTCTTCATAGACGGTCCTGGTGGAACAGGAAAAACATTTTTTTTTACAAAGCTTTACTTGCTAATATTCGTTCGTGTGGTCATATTGCACTCGCGACTGCTTCATCTGGTGTTGCGGCTAATAACATGCTTGGGGGAAGAACAGCTCACTCTCGCTTTAAGATTCCTATCAATCTTGAAAATAACTCGGTCTGTAAGATTTCAAGACAAAGTGGTACTGCACAACTACTTCGGACTGCAAAGGTAATCATTTGGGACGAAGCGTCGATGGCTAAAAGACATGCATTGGAGGCGGTTGACCGTACAATGAAAGATATCACTGGGGTGATGCTCCCATTTGGTGGAAAGATAATGGTTTTGGGAGGTGATTTTAGATAAGTGTTGCCGGTCGTTAGACGTGGAACACGAGCACAGACTATGGATTCTAGCATATGGATGTCACCTCTTTGGTCTTCGATTATCAAGTTGCGGTTAACTATAAATATGAGAGCACTAACCGATCCATGGTTCTCAGACTTTCTATTACGTGTCGGTGATGGAGTTGAAGAAACGGTGCACGAAAACTTTATTCACATCCCTGATGATATGGTAATTCCCTTCACTAAAAAAGAAAAGTCATTGAATGCTTTGATTGATGTAATCTTTCCATCCTTTGAAATTAATAGATCTGAACCAGATTATATAATTTCGCGTGCAATATTATCCACAAGAAATGATAGTGTCGATGAGATTAATGATTATTTGATCGGCCGATTCCATGGAGAAGAGAGAATTTACTATAGTTTTGATGAAGCCGTGGACGATATAAATAACTTCTATCCTGTGGAATTCTTGAACACGCTCAGTGTTAGTGGTTTGCCCCCTCGTTACTTAAGACTGAAAGTTGGATGCCCGATAATATTGTTACGGAATCTCGACCCGTCAAATGGATTATGTAACGGCACCCGATTGATATGTAAAAGTTTTCAGCACAATGTCATTGATGCCGAAATAGCTGTTGGTCAACATGCTGGAAAGAGGGTATTTTTGCCAAGGATTCCTCTAAGTCCGTCTGAAGATGACATGTTACCGTTCAAGCTGAAGAGAAAGCAATTTCCAATTCGATTATGTTTTGCAATGACAATAAATAAAGCTCAGGGACAAACAATTCCAAATGTAGAAATTTATCTTCCAAAATCGGTTTTCTCGCATGGCCAACTTTATGTGGCATTATCCAGAGGGATATCACGTGCCACTACAAAAGTATTGGTGAAACCCGATGAACAATTCAACGGCAGTGAAGTCTATACGTCAAATGTCGTGTATAAAGAAGTGTTGCATGATAAATAATGACTAGCCAATCATGTGTTCATATTCATTTTTAAAGAATCACAACTTTTCATTTTTAATTATTTCTGATTTCGTTTCTGGTAGCATGACTCTTATTGATAATTGTTTATGTGTAGTAAACTATTTGTGCAAAAACACTAATCCTATATACGAACTAATGTCTAAAATAAAGAAAAATCGCACCCGGCGCTTGGCGCGGGTAGACGGCTAGTATATATATATATATATATATATATATATATATATATATATATATATATATATATATATATATATATATATATATATATGACAGAAGCAAAGAGGGAGAAAGAACAACAAAAGCAGATGAGTATCATATGACAGGATTTCCATATCAACGAATAATTTGATTCAAAGATTTACAATCAATGAAATACGAAAATTTCAACATGATCAATAAGTGTAACACCCCAAAAACATGACCCAAAAAATTTGTTTAAAATAGGTAGTTTATTAAAACCATTTACTGGAAAGCAACATCGATATCATATCAATTCATAACCCATAGGTAAAATGTCATAAAAACATGTCATGGAATAATAATAATAATGTCAGAGTACAATCCCGTGGATCTCAAATGCGGAATCATGTGTGTGCGATGCGCAGCTACCGTGCCGACTCCTTCCCCTTCGCCGAAAAGGTACCTGAAACCAAAACTGAAAACCGTAAGCACAAAGCTTAGTGAGTTCCCTCAATCATACCACATACCATAAACATATATTATCTATCCCTCGGTATCTTTCAACCGGTATCTGACTGGGATAATCGGAAGCTGGACTTCCCTTCGGTATCTTTCAACCGGTAATCGGGAACTAACCCCCCCCTTCGGTATCTTTCAACCGGTAACCGGGAGCTAACCTCCCCTTCGGTATCTTCCAACCAGTAACTCGGGACTATTTCACCCCCAACCACTACCACATAACAACATGCTAAACGCATAATGTAACACCCGTAGATCCGGGCTAGTCAATTTAGAGACGATAAGCATCAAAAATGACTTTTTGATGGAAGATTATTTAGAAGGATTAATCTTAACCAAGTTGTAGTATATGTCTCAAGGTTTCCGAAAATATAAAGAACGCCGAAATCCGAGTTATAACGAAGAAGTTATGACCTGTCGAAGTTTCGCGACAGAACCGGCACGACACAACGCGACGTAAATAGTGAATTTACGATAGAGCGATATTTGGATTTAGCGATCTAAACGAAAGTCGTAGAATACGTTAAACCGAGAGCGTGCATGAAAAGAACGCCCAAATCTGACTTCGTATGAGGAAGTTATGATTTTTTCGAAGTTTCGACTTAGTAGTGTACAACCCGAAGTTCGAATATGAGATCGAGCGATATTTAGCCGAAACAATCTAAATGAGAATTGAATATCTCGTCGATAGTAGTCCAACGGTGAAAAGACAGACGAAAACAGACGTCAGATGAAGGAGTTGTGAATTTCTAACAGAGTTTTCATGTCTCGGCCTACTAAAAATAATATATTAATAATATATTCAAAATAGAGTCAAAATTATCCAACGAAGTCTAAACTGGAGTTGTAGAGCATAATCTCACCTACGCGTGGATATAAAGAACGTCGAAAACGGAGCTCGTATGCGAAAGTTATGAATTTCTGAAGTTCGGGGCGCGAACCCCAAAGCTGTGTCAGGGACCACGACGTGAAAACAGTGTTCACGACGTGAACTGACTTCTGACGCCTTCTGGAGCCTGACAGAGCAAGTGGACCGATGACGCATGGAATGACGTTTATGCCCATGACGTGGGAGCACTGTTCACGACGTGAAAATCGAGAAAACAACCCTATAAATAGATTTGAAGGGGCAGCCATTTGTGGTTGCCAAATCTCTTCTCTCTCACCCGTATTACATCGATTTACGTGCAAAGAAGTACCCCCGAAGCCTCGGTATCATCCCGCGACCCGAAGCGAGTCCCGAAGCTCCGAAGATCCCGAGAAGAAAAGAGTTTCCGAGCCGAAGCTCTGCCCGCGAGAAGCCCGGTGTGTGAAGAGATCACAGTTTCACCGAAGAATTACTGCTTTAAGAGTCGTAGTGCTGTCCGATCATCGTATCATCAAGTGAGTGTGTAGTTACTTTCTTCTAACACATAAATATGAAGTATTTGCTATGAAATACGTGCTATGTGTTTATATATTGTTTGTTTATTTGAGATGGTGTGGAATGAATGTTTTATATAGGTTTTAAATGAGTTAAACTGTATATGTATTTTGTATCTACAAATATGTTGGGTAGAACATAGGTAGATGAGATTGTTGGTGTGTGATAAAAGATGAGTTGGATAATGAGATAAAAGGGTGAAGAGGTTAGTTTTAGATCCGTGAGTATGGATCAGATCAGAAGGTTAGTTTTAGATCCGGGAGTACGGATTATGTATTTTTTTGAACTATACGTTCATCTGATAAGGTATCATGTGCATAGTCCCTTTCATGAACATGATTTTAATACAAGTATTGATTTAAGTATTAAATATATATGTATGTGAAGTATTTTTTTTATTGCCCGAAATACGTGCTAGATATATTTTATGATATGCAACGTGCGAATCAGTTACGGTTCAATATGTGTTAAGATGTGAATATATGATATTATTACTCAAAGCTCCGTGATAAGTATACACTAGTTAGTGTTGCCTAAACGGAGATAGTATCGAAAATTGATTATAAACTTCGTAGGATTGCCTAGTGATGGGTTAAGACTTAAAAAGGGATGTTTAGTTTAATTAAGTTTGGACATTGGGTAGCCTCTTATTAGGAGTACGTGTGTGGTGAGATCGATGATCGGTGGAGTACGTCTTACGTACAAAAGTACATTTTATGTACGAAATCCTTTTCAAAGCCATGTGTCTTTGGTGCTGCTTGCGCCAAGGTATTATTGTGTTCTCGGGTACGAGTCCTACGCATACCAGAGTACTATAATGTGCCAGAAGTACTATCATGTGCAAAGTATTTTTGACACTATTGTGTGTCGGTTATGGGAGCGTACGGGAGTACTCTATTAGTATTTCCCCATACTTTAATTTTGAAAGAGCTTTGGAGTCATCGTTTCTTTCTTTTATGAAGTGATCGAACGAGCTTCATATGTCAGCGTTTCTTTTCACGAAGTAATTGAGGGAACTTCGTAGACTGCCTAATAAAGTGTGTCGGTAATAGACCACTAATAGGTATGTCTGGTGTTATATTGCTGGATAGGGTGAGTCTGGGGGTAAAATACCTCACGATATTCAGACCACTGCTAGGCAAAGTTCGATGCTGGATAGGGTGAGTCTGGGGGTAAAATACCTCACGATATTCGGACCACGGCTCGGCATTTTTATCTAGATAACTACCCCTGACTTAATTGTCTTGTGGTTCTTTCTTTTACGAACGAAGGTTCGTGGTGAAACTTATTCCATTCCCCTCATTGATGTCTTTATTTATCCTCGTTTGCTGCCAGGGAATTTCCGAAGCAGCTTCATCAGTTCGTCGTTCTTATCGATTCCTTAGACTAGATCTCGTAAGATCATTGTGTAGGGTCAGTATGTGGGGATCGACAGGATGGGATAGATTGTTTTAGAAAATATGATATATATATATATATATATATATATATATATATATATATATATATATGTGTGTGTGTGTGTGTGTGTTAATTAATAATAGTGGTCTTGCTGGATTTAGATATACATTATTATCACATTGTTTTGAACTAGGTGTTCATTAAGCATTTTGAACTAAGTGTTCACTAGCTGTTTTTGAAATAGGTGTTCATTAAGTATTTTGAACTAAGTGTTCACCAGATGTTTTGAACTTATGTTTTCATCAGGTATTTTCGAACCGAGTGTTTAATGAATGTTTTGAACCATGTGTTTATCAGGTGTTTTTGAACTATGTGTTCATTAGAGGATTGTGTTCATTAAGTATTTTTGAACTAGATGTGTTCACCAGATGTTTTGAATTAAGTGTTCACTAGGAGTGTTAGAACTAGGTATTCACTAAGTAGGTTGAACTAAGTGTTTACCGG